AGAGCAACGAGTTCTCGCGAAAAGGGTGGAATTTGAAGGTCCGTTTCGCTGTTGACTCATGCTTAGGCGATAACGAATTGTATTTTCTTTGGATTTGACTTCGTCACACACCACGCTGCCCTAATCAACGCAAAATGTCAAGGCACCCGGACTAGTAGGAAATACGACGGCGTGGCGGATAACGTGCAGAAGGATTGGCTACATCCCGCACGCAGTTGCAGGTGGCTGAGGTGGGACTTCTAGCAGCAACGAGAGCTCCCAATGGGTTTCATAGGGTGTAGGCGTGGTTGTTTGCCAAATTCCGATTGTCTCCTGGGCTTTTGTCTTCCCGTTGGATTTTGAAGAGCCCACCGGGGGTGGTTTGAGAATGACCCGCATTCTCGAGGGGAAACACTAGATAAGACTATATGGAAGGCAGTTACTAGAAGAGACAGGAGGCAGAGTCAAGGGAGTTTATTTTCAAGGCCCCGAGTAACTGGTGAAACGTGGGGTCCGGTGACAGTGTTGTGGATTCAATTTGGTGGATGCGATCAGAATCCGAACCTAGTACTTACCGTGAGGGGGCTTTGACCGTCTGTCAGATTGAAGATAAGCACTCTGCCAACTTGATGCTGGGACTTGGGTTTGCAGCCCGACCACGCGGCTGATTGGACCAGCAGGTCGATACAACCTGAATCTACATACGAGGATCCACAACAGAACGAGCCTGTGCGGACGGGTGACATGATGGGCCGCTTAGCCTATTCAAGGCACAGAAATAGTACAAGTAAACTAACTTGTTGGACGTCACTGGCTAACATTGACGTGCCATTATTACTACTTGCATCGCCCTTTTCAGAATGCTGACAATGCTACGTTCACGAGGTATATTCTCTCTATTTCCTGCGCCTGCAGTGAATCGTCTTGACTGGCCTCGCCTCTTCTTGAACCCGTCAAACTCGAGGCAGCCTGAATACAAGCAGATAGTCATGCTGAGTACCAGTACCAGCAGTGGTCATTTACATCACAACTTTTCAAACGTGGGTTTCTTCCTCTGAATACCCGAAAGCAATGCGGCGGAAACATCCTTAGTTTGTAGCATCGCACTATTCCAGACAGCCGTATGCCACAGCCCTAGAGTGTACATCATAGAGTTAGAACCTGTATATATTACGATCCTAGGAATACCAGAGTAATACTTACCCTCCGGAACGGTATGATCCCTCGAATAATTCAGCAGCTCCTTGGTCCCCTGCGCTGCAACCGGACTCTTGGTTGCTATCAGCTGTGCCAAATCCAACGCACCTCGGACCGTCTCCTCTTTGTTCTTGAACACGCGATTGACGAATCCCACGCGGAAAGCCTCCTCCGCGTCAAAATTCCTCGCGGTTAAAGCCACCTCCTTCACCCACCCGTAATTTCCCACCACCTTGGGCAACCGACTCAACGTCCCGACATCCGCCGCCAAGCCAATGTCTACTTCCTTGACGGCAAAGCGGACATCCGCCGAGCATACCCGCACATCAGCGGCCACACCAATGTCCACGGCGAGACCGTAGGAGATAGCGTGGAAAGCCACGATCACCGGTTTCTCGCACTTTTCGAGGGATGAGATGCACTCTTGCAACTCGTCAATGTGGCGCCGCAATTGGGCAGCCTTGCGGGCGGGATCGCCAGCGGTGTTGGTGTCGGAGAGGAGGCCTTCGGAGGCGGCTTTAACGTCGAGGCCGGCAGTGAATGCGCGGTCGCCGGCACCGGTGAGGACGATGGCGCGGACAGAGGAGTCCGAGGAGAGACGGGTGAAGATGGCGGAAAGTTCCAGCCACATACTTGGAGGTGGAATACATGTAAGTTATGGTCGGCAAGAAAGAGGGAGGAGGAGGTGGTGGTGGTGGTACCTTTCAATGAAGGCGTTCATTTTGTCGGGGCGGTTGATCTCCACGTGAGCGACATATTGACGTTCGGGCGGGAATGTAACATTGAAGTGTTGGTATGTGTAGTCCGGCATGATGATGTGCGAGTTTATGCTAATGCTAGACAGATTGTCGAGGCGGTGGAATAAGTTGGAATGAATGAGTTGGACTTAAGGATACCCTTCGGAGATTAAGTATTGAGGTGAAATTGAAAAGTGCCGAGGAAGAAGGGAAGGGGGAGGAGGGAGAGCTGCATCATAACTAATTAGTGTAATCCGGGGAATGACTGCATCAAAGGGATGCCGAGGTCCAACTGCCAGGTTTAATTAAGTGACAGGCGCATAGCGAAAAGGTTAACTAGTGGCCGGAATGGCTCCACACACGTGAATTTGACTACTACTACCACTACTACTTACTACTTTCACTTCTTCTAGCAGATTTCCTGCAATCACCGTCTCTATTCTCCTTGAGAATCCCGGAATTCCAAAACTACAAGACTTGTACCGCCCTTACATAGGGCACTTGGTCACGCTGATCTCCTTGGCTATTCCACACCGCCCACCCTGCTCGTCTGCTCCCCGAAAGAGGGCTTTGCAGTGTTGCGGCTGTACTTTTCCAAGTATGAATCAAAACATTTGGACGTAAACAGGGATGTGCCACTTGGTTATCCCATTGGAATGGTTGACATGAAGGAGGAGAGTTGATCGGATACGAACCCCCCTCCCTCTAGATCCTCCATCACGTAGATGCATCGTCATGACCTCGATTTATCAAAGTTTATCACAGCATAAAAATACGTAGAAGGCAGGGAAGACTCAAGACAATTCCTTACTCGAAACCCATCCCACTCAGCAATTTAAGCAGTCAAGCATCTTGAACCCTACCAAGTCATCCAACATGGTCGCTGATGCCATGCCAAAATTCGCTGTTCTTATCGACGCAGACAATGCGCGTCATTCCAACATCCATCGCCTGCTCGCCGAAATTGCAAAATATGGGACAGTTCATGCAAAGCGAGCATATGGAGACTGGAGCAGTCAATATCTCATAGGCTGGAAGGACCAACTTCTTCATCACTCAATCCAACCCATACAACAGTTTGCGTATACTCAGGGCAAAAATGCGACGGACTCAGCCATGATCATCGACGCCATGGACCTCCTATATACTAGCCGCTATGATGGCTTCTGCCTTGTCTCCAGCGACAGTGACTTTACCAAATTAGCCTCTCGTATCCGCGAGTCCGGACTCGTGGTTTATGGTTTCGGCGAGCAAAAGACGCCAAAGCCTTTCGTTGCTGCCTGCGATAAATTCATCTACACCGAAAACCTCGTGCATGTCGATGAGTTGGAGCCACATGCCACCAGAATCCGCGTACCTGAGCATTCTGTGCCTGCCAAGAAAGTACAAACTGGTGAACCCTTGGCGACTCAGCTACGGACGTCGGTAGAAGCAGTCTCCGGTGACGACGGATGGGCCAGGCTCTCCGATGTTGGCTCACTTCTAACTAAAAAGCATCCGGACTTTGACTCTCGGAGTTACGGATACCATAAGCTCAGTGATTTGATAGCTAATTCTGCCTTGTTTGAAACCAATCTCAAGTCTCACCCACACAAGTCGTCTGTAGACATTTACGTCCGCGACACGCGCCGGAAGTCGAGCTGATTTGCTGGCGGGGGACAATGATTAATCTTCATATTTGCCGGGGGTATACTCCCGTTCAACCGCCTCGAGTAATAATTACAAGCCTGGAAAAAAAGTTTGGTGTGCTGCAATCCTGGAAATTCACACCAAGCTCTGCAACGTCGATTAATCCGCAAGCACTACGTCGAATTTAACAGCTATACAAGTCACTGCATCACCTTTGTTAGGTATTGCAGAGTGGGTATCGCTTCTGCCGCACTAATTATCAGGTGCCCGCGTGACTTAGTCTATAGTTTCATGCTTGCCTGAAACGGATCACCTGAAAAGGACCTGTTTTGGAAAGGCTAGGCTAAAAGTGAGGTGAAAGCACCCTCATCATACCTTCTCAGGGTATGCTGGGTTGGTTATAAGGTGACCGACTACTTTCGTTATGTTTATGAGAATACTCCGGAAAAAGAATTTGGATTAATCTGGGATACGTTCTGTCTGTATGGTATGTGTCAGTTGGCCAGGCAGTCCTTGAAATTCAGATTTACTTTTTTCTCGCTCGAAGGTACGAAGCTATCTTATCTTCTATGCAGAAAAAGAGGTCATTTCCAAGCCAGCCAGTGTATTCATCCTGGTGGGAGTAGTAGAAGTGGGTGAATTCTCTATCAAGCACCATAGTTCACAGGGTAACATACGCCAATAATAACGCCATGCAAGGAGGGAGACTGATGGGTTTATCAAGTTATGTATAGGCGCTGTTTTGCCTCACCACATCACAGAACGTTGTATGCAATGAAGGTATGCTGGTATTTCCGGGTTTGGGGCTTCCGAGCACGAAGAATCGTAAGTTCCCTTTGAGAACTGATAAGTATCTACAGTTATAAGATTGTTGGGCTGCCACATATTTGCATAACTGTCGTTATCATAGCTCATTGCTGCTTGTGGAATTTCCCCCTGCCACATTCCCTCTTCCGAATTTTGATCTGCATGCCGCAAAGATACTACTCTACTGCCCAATGGCGACGGAGATCATAACAGAGAAAGCCCATTTAATATGGCGTTATCATGCCTCAGTATGACAGACTTACAGGCATTCCACAAATTCTAGCATTCAAACATACAATGGCTTTGTCTTAGATATAGTAGTCAGCACAACACCCTTGCTAATCGTTGTCCCTGAGTTGGGTCGAGTCATTCTGTCTGGTAGCACAGCCATACCGCTTTCATTCCGACGGAGTCAATCAATCGGACCAGTGGCTCTCTCGCCCTTGGATTGCCATGGCGCAAGTGAACATCATAACGAGACATGCGAGTCTGGAAATTCCGAGGAACACACGACCAAACATATAAAGATGTCTTTTTATAAGGCGAAATATATTCGAGAAGACTAAGAGATACATTGGAACCCACCCTTCTCATAATCTTTTGTTCTACTTCCCAGTTTCCCATTGACCACGGAATTTATCTACAGACACAATGGTCCTAAGAAAATTCAGCTCGGATGCCCTGGACAGCCTATGTACCCGGGAACAGCTCGATCTCTTGAATTCCATCGACACGCTTCGTTCCCAGGGGATCAGCCACTATGTGTCCCTGCCGCAGATTATTGTCTGCGGCGACCAATCCTCAGGAAAGAGTTCGGTCCTCGAAGCGATATCCGGTGTCTCCTTCCCCGTAAAAAGCAACCTCTGCACACGGTTCCCGACAGAGCTCGTGCTCCGAAAAGATACCAATGTCGGAGTTAGAGTGTCTATCGTACCTCATCACTCGCGTAGCGAGGCGGAACAACGGTCCTTGGGGAGTTTCTGCGAAGAGCTCGACAATTTCGACGGACTGCCTCAGCTTGTCGAGAATGCCAAAGCAGCAATGGGCATATCCACTCATGGCAAAGCATTCTCAAATGATCTTCTCCGGATTGAAGTATCAGGACCGGATCGACCGCACTTGACGATTGTTGACCTGCCCGGGCTTATCCACTCGGAGACAAAACAACAATCTGCAGCAGATGTTCAACTCGTGCAGAATGTGGTCCAAACCTATATGAAGGAGCCGCGAAGTGTCATTCTTGCAGTGATATCAGCGAAAAATGACTACGCCAATCAGATCGTCTTACGACTGGCAAGAGATGCCGATAAGTCAGGCGATCGAACCTTGGGGGTTATCACCAAACCCGATATGTTGGTTCCGAATTCCGAAAGCGAAAAGATGTTCATATCACTTGCAAACAACAGAGACGTCGAGTTTCGGCTAGGATGGCATACGCTAAGAAATATGGATAGTGATCAGGGAAGCTGGACCCTGTCCGACCGTGACAGGAAAGAGCGCGAGTTCTTTTCTCAGGGTGCCTGGGCGGAGATGCCGTCCTCATGGGTTGGAATCAGTTCACTGCGGAACCGCCTCAGCAAGGTGCTACTGCGGCAAATAGCAGCTGAGCTTCCAAGTCTTATTGATGAGATTCAGGAGAAGGAAGATAATTGCACAAAGCAACTGATCAGGCTTGGTCAGCCGCGAACCACCTTGGATGAGCAGAAGTCTTATCTTCTCAGTATCAGTCAATCCTTCCAGGCTTTGGTCAAGGCAGCCATCGATGGCACGTACAATGAATCGTTCTTCGATAACATCCAGTCCACTACAGGGCAACAAAAGCGGATTCGATCTATCATTCAGAATATGAATGAGGATTTTGCGGAGCTTCTAAATAGGAGGGGCCACTACCGTAAGATAGTGGAAAAGAAGTCTCAAGAGAATGATCTCAAAGGACAATTGTCAATCACGCGAAGCGAATTCATCAATCATATCCAGGAGCACATGAAACGGACCAGAGGCCGGGAACTGCCAGGCACGTTTAATCCGATGATTATCGGCGAGATTTTCAAAGAGCAATGCAGTCCGTGGAAAGACCTAACCCATCAACATATTCTTGGTACTTGGGAGGTGGTTGAGAAATTTCTATTACTTCTCACAGGTTATGTGGCTGACGAAGCCACGTCTATGATCCTTTTTGATAGAGTCATATCCCCTGCACTGGATCAGCTAAAAGAGAACCTGATCAAAGCATCCGAAGAACTAGTCGGAAGTCACCAGAAAGGTCATCCGATCACATATAACCATTACTTCACGGAGAACATACAGAAGATCCGGGCAGATAGACGCGCAGTCGCGTTACGCCAAAAGATTAAGGATTTCTTTCATGTTGACACCCTACGAAACCCGTATTTCCAGGGTTCATACGATCTGGAGGGCCTTGTCCAATCCCTTCTGTCGTTTGATGAGCCAGATATGATACGATTTGCATCAGCCGAAGCTTTGGATTGCATGCTAGCTTATTACAAGGTACAGTCAGCCAGCAAAACTGTGCCATTTCCTAGAACTTAGCGCTAACTGCTCCAGGTGGCGCTGAAAAGATTCATAGACGACGTTGCAGTTGAAGTTGTGGAGGTAAAACTGGTCCAGTCTCTATCCGATATATTTACACCCCTCAAAGTATTCGAAATGCCGGCTGAGCTGGTATCGCGCATCGCCGGCGAATCCGATGAAAACCGTGCCCTACGGCAACAATTAAACAGGAAGTTACAAGTTCTTGACAAAGGCTTGTGGACTTGCCGGCAATTCGTTAGTGGTCGTGGCATTGGCATGAATGGTACTAAGGAAGCACGCCATTCAGATACCAAGGCAGGAGAAGGAGATGGGCTTGAACTTTCGCAAAATGAGGAAGAGAATGATATCTCCCGAATATACTACGCTGATTCAAGTGCCGAAGGTTCGTAACTAGAACTTACTAGGGGTGACTGTCATTGTTAACTTCTAGATAGCGTCTAGTTTACAAGCCCAACCGTCAGAATCTAATGAGGACTATGGCGGGCCAGCTGAAGAGTCGCCGTCATTTGTGGAGGTGAACGCTTCCCCGTTTGAAGCCATGTCTTTGTCTGGGGAGTCCTCTGTAGCATCCATGAAGAAACGCAAAAGCAAGAAGAAAACGAATATACCGCACCGTACCTAATGCCACATTCGTGACTTGTTACCCCCGACCACGAAGAGCGATTGGCCCAGTTGTGCAGACAATCACCAACCGGTAGTACAACGTAAGACAGATAGTATATTGCTGAATCAATCAATTATGAAGCCAAAACTGAAGCGTAGTTGTCAAGCGAAGCGACCTTGGTACAGGACCACAGCCACTTTAAGTGCAAAAACCCGAACAACAACTTCCATTAACTCAGACCAAACAAGTGGATATATTCTCGCAACTCGCAGAACGCCGTGCAACACAAAACCAAAACGGGAAACCTTGATCAGTATGCAAAACCAGTCGGAAAGTAGTCCGATTACACATCAACCAAAGGGATATGAGAACCCCTCCAAGACCTACCCAATCACCAAGCACTCCGCACCGTCACTCCGCATATTCTATCTGCCCCCGGCCATTCTCGGTCAGACGCGCCTCCGGATCCAGCAGGACACGGAACTCCTGGTCACTCTGGTATGGCGGCGTCTCTTTCGCAGTGAACACTGCATTTTGCGTAATGCCAAATCGGAAATGCTGTTGCGCTCGCCGCTGTCGCGCTTCGACCCGGACCCGATACGCATCATAGGTTGCCTGGTCCAGCGTGGCGAAGAGATAGCGGGAATGCACGCCTAACGCTTGCGCTCCTTTCTGTCCAAACCCAAAAGAGGTGACCGAAAAGGCCTTAACTCCCGTGGTCTGGATGCTGCGACTGGGGTAGACCAGATAATCATTCTGGAGGGCTTCGTCGATGTTGTCCGCATTGCGGTTGCCTGGAACCAAGCCGGTGTTAAGCACTTGCAGGCCACCGTTGAGCATCCACGCTCCTGCAGCACCTTTTGAGTGCCCGGTAAGATACTTCTGGAAGATTCCCAATGCAGGATTACCCTTTGTTCGACCCAGGTGATGAAGCTGTTGGCTAATCATGTTCGTCTCGTTCTTCTCGTTGAGCACGGTGGATGTCCCGTGGAACGAGACCACATCCAGATCGTTGATGGTCAGGTTCCAAGTTGCCAGGGCACCGCGTAGCGGAGATATCTCTGGGTCGTTCTTCCAAAAGTGGTTACCAAACGTGTTCAACGCATCTTTCTCTTGGATCCTAGCTTCGCGGCGTACATAGCGGAGGCGTTCGTTGACCTCTTCAGTTCGCTCTTCCGAATAAGGGCTGGGGCTTCGCTTGAGGTCCGCCAATTCTGCCTCAGCGATGTCAACTTCCATGTCGACGCGTTCCTTGATGTGCTGGAGTGACATGTTTTATCTCCGACGCCGGTAAGAAATATCCAACATGGAAGACGGGACTCGGTTTCGTGCCTCTCGTGCATTTGTGAGAAGACCTTTGCCGGGAGCAGGAACGGATCGCCCGATCTTGTCACTAGCTGTTCCGACCCATGCTATGATGCCCTGGATGGGAAGGCCCATATCCAAAGCTAACTGAGCGGATGTGATCACTTGGATACCACTGCCCTGCGACTCGACGAATCCAGCACGGGTCGAAGCAGCCGGTCGCGACATTTCACTAGGATCACGACCTTTCTCGAACTCTGCCTCACTACTCACCGTGGCCTTCATCTTCGCAAATTCATACGACACATCCTCCGAGAAGTCATCGAAGCCACCGACGAGACACATCTTGGCTTTGCCGGAGACGATAGTCTCATAGCCGGATTCAAGCGACTCGATCGAGGTTGCGCAAGCGCCGACTGGGGTACGGATAGGACCGGTGGAGGACAACAAGAGCATGTTGATCCATGCAGCAGTGGTGTTGATGAATGACTCCTGCAAAATATCGTTTTGAACCTGCTTCTCTACGAAGCGGTCCTTATGCAGCTTTCGGAGTGCTTTAACACCACCCAACCCAGAGCCGATGCAATTGCCGATCTCAGAAACATGTAAATACTGGTATATCTCAAATGGGTCACTGATTCCTGCGCTCAGAAGTGCTTCCACCGTTCCAATGAGAGCATATAGCGTGGCTGGATCTACTTGACTGGCGAGATCTTCAGTAAGCCCATACGTACGGGCATCCCACCCGGTCGGAATCTGACCGACGACTGCTCGGTCGAATCGAAGTGCCTTCGGGATCATCAGGCAAGCTCCCTTGAGCAGACGGACGGTGTACTCCTCGCCTTCAGGAAGGATCTCGACTTTATCGCCGTGTTCCAGTCGGAGTTGTTCTGCGGTTTCCTTGGACGTCTTCAACGGAGGCATATCCTCGTCGAGCACCACTTCCTGCAAGAACTTCTTCTTATACGGATCGTAGCCGTCGTTGATCTCTGGCTCGATAAGTCGAATGCCTGTGTGTGCCAAGATGTGCCCTTCGAAACGTTTCTTTACATCGACATCGCGAATAGGCTCCTTGGTCTCTGCGACGATCCAGCCATGGTAATGCGGGTTCCCATTCAAAGGTCCATTGTGATGCTTAATCAGACCCATGATCCAGGCCATCTCAATGCAGCCCTCTAGCGAGAACTCTCCATATGCCTCCATCTCCCAACGCGTCCGGGCGTTGCCGTAGGGCCCGACTTCCGAGAAACCAGTGACAACAACCACTCGGTCTAGATCGACCATTCCGCGCAACTGACCGGCGAGAGGGAGGATTTCGGTCTGGTAGTCAGGTAGACGAGGAAACTCGAGTGCGAGCCTCGCCTTTTGTTCTCGTACTTGAGGTGCTTCTTCTGAGGACTTCCCAAGGGCAGCACGCTCGAAGACCTCTTCCTTTGCTAGGGCCTCTCGGATCTCGCTGGTCTCTTTCTGCTTCTGACGGATGGAATCAACAGTCTCCTTGAAATTCGGGAAGTGGCCCATGCCACCACTCAAGTCTGCCTGCACTGGTGTCACCTCGCACTCTGTTGCGATGGGCGAAGACATGAGGACCAAGATGTAGTGGGCCATTTCGACCTGGGAGAATGTTCTCACTCCCACCTTCTCAATATCCTGTGCGACACTATTATTGGCGCTCATAAGTCCTGTCCCGCGTGTCCAGCCGATAATCGCACCGCAGATCGAAAGGTAGGCCCCCCATGACTCGGAGCTCCAGCGGTTGAACAAGGTCTCGAGAGCGAGCTTTGACTCTGGATACAGGCCATCACCACCGAAAATACCGTGGTTCGGTGATAGTGGCAGGATTACCTGTGCGGGATGGCTATCGAATCCTCTCGCTTGCTTCTGCTTCTTGATTGCTCCAAGCAACCTGATAGTGTTTGTCAGCATGATGCGATGTGCCAGCTCTGATTTAGAGTCGATATCCTCAATCTGACGGCCCCCTTCTGGAATGGCTGCAAATGGCACAACATGACTCAGATCCCATCCGAGGCCTTTGTCAGAATCACATATGTATGACACCAGGGACTCGAGGTCTTGCTGACTCGCCTGGTTGAACGGCAGGAGAATGAGTTGTGAGCCGCGAGCTCCTTCTTCAGCGTAGATCTGCTGGTACAACCGTGTCGTCGCTAGCGAGTAACTGCTGGTCGTTACGAGCACCCGAGCGCCTCCTCTCAGAAGGCCGCGTACAATTTCGGTGCCGATAGAATCCCGTCCCGCACCAATGACAAGCACTTCTGCGTCTGAGAACGACAGGCATTGGTGGTCCGTCTCGCGAAGGGTGGCCATAAAGGCTGCATTCAAGTCCGCTCGACTCTCCCAACCATGACTTCCCAGAGACTTAAGGGTAGCTGGTGGCGCTGGGTCGACGGTCGCACGGGTGACCTCGGTATAGTGAATCTTTCCCTGGCTATCGATGGTTGTCTTCGGTGCGTCGACAATCAACCGGTGGGCAGCCAACGGCTGAGCACCTGACAACTGTGGGTTACATGCCAGCCGCAGCTGACGGAGAGCATCGCGGGCATGAATCGCTCGCGGATTCCGCAGTTTCAGGCACTGTGTCTCCAGGTATTCCAGCATCTGAACAAGCCTGGGATTAGACTTCCGAGCAATCCGTCCCATAATGGTTTCGATCTCGCGGCCAGTCAGCGCAATAGTCCCCGCCAAGATGCGTTGAAACATATCCACAGCGTCTTGCAGCGCCCAATTCCAGAACGAGTCGTATCTGCGGGCCTTGGCTATGGACAACATGGGCCTGATACCCGAGCCGTAAACCTCGCCATGCTCTGAAATCCAGAGCTGCAGCTCGTCCTGAAGCTCTGCTATGACCTCTGCGGCTTTTGTATTGGTCTTGTGTCCAGCCTGCAGGTCAACTCCAAGCAACTTTGCATACACTTCCAGCATGGCTTGGGCACGGTCATCCTGAGTCTTGGCCAGTGCCTTGACGGCCGTCTGATCTACAATGACCGGTCCGGATGATGCGCCGGCTCCGTCGGATGAAGTTCCTGCCAAAGATAGGTCGATCTTCGCATCCTGAGCATACTGGTGGACGATCTTGTCAAGGAAAGCATGAGCGGCGCTGGTATCCGGGAGTCGTGCGGCAGGCTGCTGGACGGCAGCACGTAGCAAAACTGCATCCTGGCGGCCTGTCTGTAAACCATATTTGTTAAGCAGGTGGGCTCGCACTTCACCCGACCCTAGACCAGCCGGCATTTTTGCCGACACCATTCGGTTGACAAGGGTTTGTGTGGTCTTTCCTAGGCCTTTTTTCCAAGAGCCTTGAGCTTCGATTGATTGGGCGAGCTCTGACAGTGGGGTATCTTCGGGGGCGTCTGGAATGGAGCCAAACTCGGCGCCGATATCTCCGACAATCTCATTTTCTAGAGTGGATCGGCCTGTCATGTGTTAGAATGAAGCCGGGTGTGGTCGTATAGATGAAATGGGA